ATGCATTTTAATTTTTAGCTTGTGCATACTGATCTTTTAATATTGGAAATTTTTCACTTCACTCTAGAGGCAGCAATTGTATTTTTTTTAAAAAAAAATTTAAACTCACAATCAGATTTATTCTTAATGGGGAAATGGTATATTTTTAAGGACCCTGGAATCCTTGTAGCAGCTGCGTGCAGCACTTGTTAATCTAAAAATCAAAGAAGCAGGTAAGTTTAATTCTGATGAGCTGTCAGACAGTAGGCACTTTGAATACTGCCAAGAAAATGCCATCGTGGCCTCTGAGATGGGGCTCTTCTGAGTTCTTGAAACATCTATTATTAGGGCAGACATGGCCGAGTGGTTGGGACAGAGTTATTCTCTCTCACGCGTGGCTGCTTGCTGAATGTTCAGGAATCTCATGTGGTTGGAAGTCCACTTGTTTGAGTGGTGACTTCATTCCTAGGAGTTGCGGTCAGGGACAACAGAAATGTCTAATGAATAAGAGACAAACCTAGTGTTCTGATTGAGAGAGGTACTACAGAAATGATTGATGGAAACTCTTCATTCTTTTACTCATCCAAGGTTTTACTTTAAAGACAGTTGTACTTTTTAGGATACATTAGATGTGGTTTTTGGTGTCCCTCAGGTGACAAATTTATTTTCATTTTTGGTGTGTTTCAAAAATTACAGGTACTCATGAGAAGGAATTGGTAGATATTTATTGTCATATCCATTGCCATCGAGTTAATTTCGACTCATAGTGACCCCACAGGACAGGGTAGAGCTGCCCCATAGAGTTTCCAAGGCTGTAAATCTTCACAGAAGCAGACTACCACTCTTTCTCCCACAGAGCAGAGCCAGGGCTGGCAGGTTCAAACCGCTGACCTTTCGGTTAGCAGCTGAATGCTTAACCATTGCACCACCAGGGCTCCTTATTTATTGTCATAGCAAGCTTAAATGGTATATTGTTGTTAGGTGCCATTGAGTCGGTTCTGACTGATAGTGACCCTACGTACAACAGAACGAAACACTGCCCGGTCCTGTGCCATCCTCACAATTGCTATGCTTGAACCCATTGTTGCAGCTACTGTGTTAGTCTGTCTCCTGGAGGGTCTTTCTCTTTTTTGCTGACCCTCTACTTTACCGAACATGATGTCCTTCTCCAGGGACTGATCCCTCCTGATAACGTGTCCGAAGTATGTGAGACAAAGTCTTGCCATCCTTGCTTCTAAGGAGCATTCTGGCTGTAGTTCTACGACAGATTTGTTCGTTCTTCTGGCAGTCCATGGTATATTCAATATTGCTTGCCAACACTGTAATTCAAAGCCACTAATTCTTTGGTCTTCTTTATTCTTTGTCCAGCTTTCACATGCATATGAGAAAATTGAGAACACCATGGTTTGGGTATTACTAATTGAAAAAAAGGATGTAATACCATGCATATGAATGGTTCACTCATATAAATGATGTTTAAGAAAGCTTAGAAGAGTTAAAAGAAGCTCAAGTTTACTTTGAACATTCTTAATTTCCACAACCCGCCCTCAGTCATCATAAAGGTAAAAGCTTTATAACTGGCCCCATTGTTAAGTAAGTTCTGATAGACTGTTTCGGGGATAGAGTTTAAAAAACAAAAACAAAAACTTACATACTAAATAATTGTTTACATAGCACCAAACATCAAAATGATGGAAAACTGGAATTCACCAGGGATTCTAGTATATTAGATATTCTGTATTAGAAAGACAGTCTGCTGATTGATGGAATTCACCCTCTCTGGACAGCACCCATACTTCTAGCTGATTGTTTTTTACAGCCAGAATGGCTTCGAAGGATGCTCCTGAGGGCCTTTAACATTTTCACCACTTGTTTGTGTGAGGTCTGGAGAAGAAAGATAAAGCGCTCCAGGCCTTCTCTCATGCTGCCGTTTAGAGCAGAGTCACTATTTGGTAGAAGGCAATAACTTTTAGAAGGGAAAAATATCTTGTATCTTGGGACTGTTGTTCATGATATAACTTAAATTGTTCCTTTTTTTTTTTTTTGAAA